GAAATGATTTTCTGTAAGCGAATTCCCATACAGAAACTTCAGCCAAATACGACCTAGCGCAAACCATTAAAAGGGGATTAAAATCTTTGAAAAGATGAATGAAAAGTTGCGTAACATTCACGACGAAGATAAGACTCAAACGAACTGTTAGAAGAAAGAAAGTTAGAAAAACGAAGAAAACTGAAGAACAAAAATTGAAAGTTTTGATAGCGTCAGTTTTTGAAAATTTGACTAAAAAGTTCTAAATCTTGTGCAAGCAAGATACGGACGACAGAAAAAAGGAAAAACTGAAAACTTGTGAAGAACTTACAAGAATGGACAGACTCTGTGTCATTACTGCGTCTTCTATGACTATTCTCATTGAATCTTTCTGAAGAGGAATTTGTAATAGGATCAGATAAAGTGAACTACATACATTTATTTGTTGAATTTACCTGCTCCACCAAAATCAAGCGAAATCCTGGGGGAACGTCTGCGAGTCGTAGGTTCTGGGGGTTTTGCATCACTTGGTGGTGGTCCATTCGCAGTTACATCTGTTCCCTTCCTCATCATGCCTAATAATTAAGTTTGTAAATGAAAAGAGTTTAAATTCAAAAAGTTTGATGAAAAGTATCAATATTCAACGCCAAAAAAGCTCAAAAAAAAGCTCACTAAGTCAGTAGCTCTCTTGAGAGATTCCTTTCATTTTCTACTTATATAGAGTCATCCAAAACTAGCAGAGCACACATTACGGGCTTATTAATAACTTTGCAATTCATGGCCATAAATCTTCTGCTAATTACCATCAAAAGAGAAACAAGAATAGAAACACGTTGTCAAAATCTTGCCGAGAAACGCAGCTTTAGTTTCTTTACGAATCAACAGAAATAGGGCAATAAGATCCCTTTTATTTCCGACTGCACGTAAAAGACAGTTGCTGAACGATATAAGAAGCAATCACATTAATGGAGTTAATTAATGTGATTGTTATCGCTGAAAGGATACGATAAGTTTTTTTCCCTTGAGTTAAGATCTGCTACTTAATCATAGATCTTCTTATTCCCAAACATCGAGGTATAAGCTGAGGCATGTACATATTCGGATTATCCAGTAAATCTATAAAAGCATGCTCGAAAAGCATTAAAATCAAAGCATTTAAAGAAGAAGAAGTGTAAGAAATGCTGCAATCACATTATT